GAGGTTCGTGAAGCATCGGAGGTTTTTCTTGTCTGTAACGGTTGTTAATTTAGTATCCTGTTCGGACATTTGCCGATATGCCACTCTCCGTAGGCATATTTGTGCATAAAAATATTATTCTTAGCTGTTTTTCAGTATGACCACCAGTGTATAAACGAAATACTCTACCATGTGAGTTTTTAATGGCTAATTGCTCTCACACTGCATTGTCTGTTGACAGATCTTCCAATACTACTTCCTTTGAAAATATCTTAATGCCGCAGCATTTTTTATATTTATAAATATTTAATCCTAGATGCTTGTTTCGTGACACTAACAACTTTTACCCTATCCGAGTTTGAAGCTGAGGATGGGAGTAATTTTTTGATGGCGCGAGGAGGGGGTTATTCAGTCAGTGTTGATTTAACTTCACCCTTGTTGTACTCCCCATTTGATTTTGTTGTCATCGAGCATCACGGTTTTTTTTGCCTGAGGAAGCTTCAGACCTCTGCATGGTAGAATCGTCATTCCTTCACGGCATTTACCAGAGACCAGCTGCTGATTTGACGATTAGCCAAATTGTTCTATACCTATTGGCTTGTTGTTGTACGCAGAAATTAACAGTAGTTTTTTACTAGGTACGAGTAATTAACAAGTTAGTATTTGATTAGTTATTACTTAATGAAGTACATATTTAGCATATTGTAATGATAGTAATTTATGACCAGTGAGTAACAAGTGGTGTTTAATTCATGAGTTCATGAACAGAATATCAGTTTTGTGAATTGTTTTAGTTACTAAGAACGTAGTACCGGCAGTTCTTAGTTATTGCTATTACAAACTGGCTAGTTGGTTCTTGTTTTTTCAGCGTCATCTGAGGCTAAGAGAGCTTAGAAATTAGAATTTGCCAATTCTGTGACTATAACCATATCTGACAGTTAGAAACGGTACTTCACATTAGTTCATGATATTTACTATACATGGTAATCGGTGCTAAGTTTAAGATCGGGCACTGAATGTAGATGAACTTTTCTGCAAAGACAAAACTCTTCCAGAATACAACTGTTCTTTTCATCAGCTGCTTTCGTACCCGAAGTTGGCAGTCTTGTCCCACTCATTTTCCTCATTGTTTTGTAGTTTGTTGTATATCTACTTTTCCATTGCTGTTGCGTCGTGTTTTCTTGTTCGGCTTTCATGTTTCCTTGTGATATTTTAATTTTGCCATTTTTTCGTATACTTCCATTATAGCTAGCATGCATTATATGCCACTTTATGCCATTATATGTTTGGCTGATAAAATGAGATTCGAGCGTAATTTTATTCACGTAGTGAAATCATTCACGAACTCATTCATTCTTATTCTGTCATGCGTACATTCATTCAATTATGCACTTGCTCACTTATTCCTTCACTGTCACTCACATATTCGACCGGTCGTTAGTTTGGCTAGAAGTTTATTCGTTCATTCATTTACTCTCAGTCAGTACAATTTCATCTACTCTGTAAACCAGTTCATTCATATATAAATTCATTCCTTCGTTCACTATTAATTTATTTATATATTTTTTGTTCGTTCAT